AATCACTATAAACAAACCTTAAGAAAATCAAAAGACTGACAGGAAGGGGTAGAATGCTAAATACAAACAACAAAGGGTCAATGACTCTCCTCCGGTTAAATATCATTCACAAAAAAAAACAAGAAACTTGATACAATTACAGTGAGAATACGAAAACTACCACAAAAGAAGAAATACAAATGGCTTAAACATTTGCAAGATCAGTAGTTCAAAAAAAATAAAATGCAAAACAACAAAAAGCTTCTACTCTTTCAACTATCAGAGTTGGAATAGTGATGGGAATGTAAGTAAATCAATACAAATTTCCTGAAGGAAAAAAATTAGAACATTGGTAATGAGATTTTAGGCTAAAAAATGCGAAGATTGTAAGGTAATAACTATCAAAACCTTATTATAGCTTTTTGAAAAAGATTTATTTTCAGTGGGAAGGCAGAGTCACAGGCAGAGAAGGACAGAGACCTTCCACCAACTGGTTCAAACTCAATAAATTGCTGCAATGGCAACATCAAGGGTGGTCAGATGCCAGGAGCCCGGAGCCAGGAGCCAGGAGCCAGGAGCCAGGAGCCAGGAGCCGACTCCGGGTCTCTCGTGTGGCTGCAGAGTCCCAAGGATTTGGACTGTCCTTGACTGCTTTCCCAGACCACAAGCAGGGAGCAGGATGAGAAATGGAGCAGCTAGACCTCCCACTGGCACCCATATGGGATGTTAAAGTAGCAGGCAGAGGCTTAGTTTCCTAAGTCACCACCTTAGTCCCTGATTACATCATTCTTAATAACACTAGAAAACTGCAAATAACTGACTTAACAGAGAACTAATGACATAAAAGACATTGCTATAATGAAAAAATGAAGTCTAATAACAAAATTTTTCAGTATATCAGGGGAAGACAGGTATTGACAAAGCAGAGTAATGGTTAGTAATGACTAAAAACTACTAAAAACTTTTTTGAAAAATGCCTAATATATACACATACATATAAACATAATATATTACATAATACATGTATATATTTTACATAAATACAGGTATATATTTTACAAAAAAGGAAAAGTTTTTTGCATTGGTCTACATGTGGATAAAAAATTGAAAGAATTTAGGAAAAAGAAAGTTGTTACTCAAAGGGAGGAAAGAAAGCAACAGGGGTAATGAAGTAATGTTGACTCCATAACTAGCGTTTAATGTCTAAACATATTACCTTTAAAAACTACATGAAAAAATTCTTACACACTAAAAAATTATACATTAGTCCATGTTGGCAAAGCATTATCAGGAACCTTTAAAAATTTCATAGAAATATGTATTTTAAACAACCTATACAAAATGAAACAGCAAGGGAAATACAAAAAGAGATCTTCCATCAGCTGCTTCACTACCCAAATAGCTGCAGTGGCCAGGGCTGGGCCAGCCTGAACCTGGGAGCAAAGAGTTTCACCGAGGTCTTTTACACGGATGCACTTGTGTCATTCTCCAATGCTTTCCCAACTGTGTCAGCAAGGAGTTGGATCAAAAGTGGAGCGGCCAGGTTTGCAGGCATCACTGGCAGCACCTTAACCCATAACAGCACAACACTGGCCCCCTAAACTAGTATGTTTTATAAACATTAGGCCTCTTTAGCAATAACTGAAATACTGTGTGTACAACAGCAACAGTAAAATAGACATTTGAAAAACAGAAATCTTGCAATACAAAATTAGTACAGCAACATAAGTTTGTAACTTCTCATTTGAAAAAAAAAGTACTTCAGTAAGGATCAAATACAGTCTGACTCAAATTTTATGCAAAGGATGAAATTTCTATGTATATATATATATATGTATATATGAAATATTAGTGAATTGTAAAAGACTGCCCCAATAATAATTCATGTCCCTTTCCATGAAGAAATTCATAAGAAGAAAATAACTCCAGACTACAATGATTATTATAACTACTAGAAGTGGCCTCTCTATGAAATCTAAAATAGAACAAAAATGTACATTTCTTCCAGAGCTGTAGCCAACAATAACTTCTGCATTCTGAATCCAGCTTAGGTACATTAGTTGAGAAGATGTTTGCAAAAGAATTTCATAAGAAAGTGTTGAGTTTAGATTTTATCTTTACTCAATTTTCTTAAATGGTCTGAGGTCATTCAAATATAGTAAACAAAGCCTCTCCACCATACAAGTGGCAAAGGAAAAAATCTCATGCAACAGCTTACTTCTTATACAGAATTGCTTTATAATCACAGGACATTAAACCTTTTTTTCTGTAAAGAGCCATAAAATACTTCAATCTCTACAGCCCATATAATCACTGTCATAAATACTCAACTCCACCATGTAGCATGAAAGCACCAACAAGACTAAATGAGTAAGCACAGCTGTGACGCAAAACAAACTATACTTACAAAACCATAGCCATAGCCTTGGTTCACTGACCTTTCCTACAGACTACGTGTTTTTTGAATAAAAGATACACTGTTTTAATAAATACTACAAAATCTGTTATAAAATACCTGATATTTTCTTTAAAATATCCATTAAGGGCCTGGCGTGGTATTGTAACAGCTCAAGTCCTCGCCATGCACATTCCAGGTTCCCATATGGGAGCCGGTTCTAATCCCTGCAGCCCTGGTTCCCATCCAGCTCCCTGCTTGTGGCCTGGGAAAGCAATCAGGATGGCCCAAAGCCTTGGGAACCTGCACCCGTGTGAGAGACTGGAGAAAGCTCCAGGTCCCTGGCTTCGGACTGGCACAGCTTTGGCTGTTGTGGCTGTTTGGGAAGTGAATCATCAGACAGAAGATCTTCCTCTCTGTCTCTCCTCCTCTCTGTATATCTGACTTTCCAATAAAAATAAATAAAAATCTTTAAAACATTCATTAAAAGAAAAATAGAGGAAAAGTTTTGTGGCATAGGTGAAGCCATCACCTGATACACTAGCATCTCATATGGACACAGGTTCAAGTCCCAGCTACTCCATTTCTGATCCAGACACCTGCTAAATGCAACTGGCAACACAGTAGAAGCAGGCTTAAGTCCTTGGAGCCCTGCACCCACATAGGAGCTCCTGACTCTGGCCTAGACCAGCCTTCATCGTTGTGGTCATTTGGGGAGTGAACCAATGGGTAGAAGATCTCTCTCTACTATCTCTGACTTTCAAATAAAATAAATCTTTTAAAGAATAGAAAGCATAAAGGAAGGCTAAATAAGACTGGCAAAACAATTAGAGATGATGAATATGTAGAATTTATTATATTATTTCTATAATTTCAAGAGCTTAAAAGTTTCAAATTGAGTTTCTAAAATATCAAAATTAAATAATAAGCTCTACAAGAAATTTCTTCAGATTATATAATCCACTGTATATTTTTAAATAAAACTAGCACAATATAAAAGTCTTAACAAAGAATCACTAAAGTATAATGGAAAACTAAACCACAAAAGCATATACAAGTAAAAATTTTAAGGTTTCCCTAATTCAAAATACAGGCTCATATCATACAGCTCCTAAAATACTACATTTAACTTATGCCCATTTTTATCTAATCAAAGGTATTATAATTTTTACCTTCAGAATATGAGAAATACATTATTTATAACATAAGTCCATCAATTTTAAAATGTGGTTTTTTATTTCTGAACTCTAAATAAAGGATATAAATATTAAAATAAAACCCATACAAATAAGCATTTCTGATTTTCAATAATTACAGCTGAAAAGGAATCTTGAAACCATAACTTTGAAAATCTATGACTTTAACATTTTTACTTTTTAAACATTTATTTATTAATATTTTTATAGAAAAGGCAGAGTTACAGAGGGTACAAGAGAGGCAAAGAGAGACAGGGAGAGAAAAAAGATTTTCCAATCACTGTTTCACCCCCCAAACAGATGCAATGGCCAGAGCTGAGCCAATCTGAAGCCAGGAGCCAGGAGCCTCCCCTGGGTTCCCCAGGACTTGAGCCATCCTCTGCTGCTTAACAAGCCCATAAGCAGGGAGCTGGATGAGAAGTGGAGAAGCCGGGACTCACACCACTGCCCTATGGAATGCTGTTACTTTCAGGCAGAGTCTTCAGCTGATATGCCACCACATCAGCCTCCAACCTCAAAATTTTCAAGGCTTTTTAAAAGTACTTTTACCAAGCAACTTAGACATATATGTTCAAACTCATTTTATCTTTCATGATAGTCATCATAGAGTAGACTTAATCCACTATGAAAGGTATCAGCATATACCCACAAGAAGACACTTAAAATGTCAATAGGAATATTCTTCTAAACTGTCTGGAAAGTCATGAATAATGTATCCATAGGAAAAGACTTATAATGTGTCCCCCACCCCATGCACATAATTGTCTCCTGAACCAATAGTAAAGAGAAACTAATACGCGCCAACAGACATTTCCAATAAATATGCTGCCTCATCAAATTAAAATATGCATTCTCAATACTAGAAGCCAGAAATCAAGCTGAAAAATGCCTTAGGAAAGCAATCTTAATGGCTACAATTTCTCAAAGATTAAATAAACATGTTTTTCAAAAGTTCTAAGTTTTTTCCCAACATTCTGGTATACAGTGGTTTCAAGTATTACATAAACTAAAAACTAAATTAGGCTCACAGAAGTATTATGGCATTTGAGATAAACAGAATTTCTCCAAGACATTTAAATTATTCAAGAAAATCAGTACAATCAGTTTCAAAGTTTTCTAAATATAAAACTAAAGTAACAATGAACAATTCATAACATAAATTTGAAAATAATTAAATCAAATATACTTAAATGATCATTCATTCCATTTTGTACAAATGAAACAATATTCATTTTTTAAGTACAGGACAACTGTAGTGTTTTTAAGCAAATTTACCTCTTCCACATTGTCTATCTTAGATGTTACCAGAGATTATCTCATTTTGATTTGACTAAGTACAAAATATTTCCAAGTTGTTTTTATAAATTTGATTTCTATTGTCCTTCATCAACATGAGCCGCACTAGCAATTGTATGCAAAGACATACTTACATCATGCTCTGTAATTCAGCTGCAAAGCTTATAGACTTCCCTGCACTTCTTCCACTACTTGAGGTGGCAGTAGACATTGGGCTAGCTGCAGTATTATTCATCTAAATAGAAAGGAGAAATCAGGCTTACAATCTCTTTAAAAACCGTAAGAAAATGCATTAAAATATAAGCAAGTATAAATTCAAAAAATAAAACTTCACATGTCCAATTATTTCTATTGGATTTGAATTTTTATATGTACTCTTCTTTATTAAAATGAAATAGCAAAGTAGAAAAGACTGTTCAATTAATACATCAACTACTCATTTGAATGATAAACATTTTTTGTAACTACTCTGCATTAAGTAATAAAACAAAAAATACTTTAGCAGAGCTTAATTATTCGAAACATATTTCAGGAAGACCCAAAACTCATTAATGGTTCTTCATAGAGTTTATAGGGCCCCCAAATACATACATTCTACATGCTTCATCTGACCATTAAAATAATAATTTTTCTATTTTATATACAAAGTTCTAGGCAAGATTTTTTTTAAAAAAAAATCATAATTATAAAAGAAAAAATTAGAAAACCACAGCAGGGACAAGGATTCGGTCCAGGGTTTAAGAGGCCTTTTGGGATGAACACATCCCATTGTGGAGTGGCTTTTAAGCTCAGCGCCCCATTTCCCAGGATGCACAGCTGATGGTTCAAGTGGTTGAGTCTTTGCTACCTGAGAATGTAAGCAAGTGAGCAAGCTAGCAAGCTCTCTCTTTCTCCCTCCAGAGCAGGCCCTGTCTCTCACTCACTCACTTGCAACTCTTTCTCTGGCTCTTTATGCTTCTCGAATGAATTAAGGAAAAAACCTAAGCAAAATCTGCTGTAATATAAACTAAGAAAATCCTATCTCAAAAACCAGTGAAAAATTTTTAAAGAGCATAATTGAACTTCCATTTGAATCAAGGTCTATGTGGCCTTGAATAAGAGCAATCAGCAGATAAAAAAAAAGTAAACATGATATGTTGTAATGTTATGAGAAACTAACTCATCTAATCTAAAATGTGGCATTTTCACTCATAAAATTAAGCTGATGATGAGAAAGTTAGATGCTAATCATGGTGTATGCCACTTTATTTAATGCTGTATTAGACAAAATAACATTAAAATGGACAAAATAACATTAAAATAAATCCATGAAAAAAAAATAAATCCATGAAACAAAAGTTGTCAATTATTATATAGTAAATGCCCAATAAATATTATTTTATTTATATAAATTTTGTAATGCTACAATTTTCCTTAAAATAAAAATTTCTAAAGAAGAAACAAATTCAAAACACAAAATAGAATAAAACAGTTCGGGGGGGTGTAGGTTTTAGAGTCAGACTGCCTAGGTTCAAATCTCAGCTCTGCCACTTTACTAGAACTTTAGGCAACATAATTCTGATTCCTTACTCTTAACACAGGAACGACAGACACACGCTCTTAAGGGAGTTGTGAGAATTAAATTAACAACATGTACAACAATGCAAAACTTGACTGAGCACAAAGAAAGCACCTAACAAATGTTAGCTATTATAATCAATAGAAAGACTTCAAGAATTTCCCCTTCTTGAACATTCTATGAATTTAATTACCTTTATTTCACAATCGCACAAATTCAAAAATCTTAAATATTTTCACCAAAAGACATCAATTTTAACAAATAATAAGTGGGTTCCTAATAAAACAAGCTTATAATAAAACAACCATTAGTTTCTGCAGCTCCAAATCTGTCCTGAGGTGGGCATTTGGCACAGTGGCTAAGACACTACCTGGGATGCCTGTATAGCTATCCTGGAGTGCGTATGTGCATGTCCCAGTGCCACTCCTGCTTCCCGCATCCTGATAACAGGCACCCTGGCAAGCAGCAGAGTGGCTCTTGGGCCTGGTTCCCTGCAACCCACACTGCAATCCTGGACCGAGTTTCCAGTTCCAGCCTTTGGCCTAGCCCATTCCTGGCTGTTTCAGGTGTATGAGGAACAAACCAAGGGAGGGATGAGATGTCTGCCTGCCTGCCTATCTCTCTTCCTCTCCTTATTTCTGTCTCTTTTCCTTTCAAACAAATAAAATGCATTTTTGTTCAAAAAATTTGCTTAAATCTCAAACTCTTATGTTTTACTCCTGCTGAGCCCTATGTTTTAAAATAAGACAAATTATAGTTTCTGTTATTACATCTTTCTACTCCTTCTCAACCTCTAAGGCCCTCTAAAAATTCCTTTTTTAAGATTTATTTTAGTGTTATTGGAAAGTCAGAAACACAGAGAGAGAGACAGAGGAAGATCCGATGATTCACTCCCCAAGTGACATCAATGGCCAAAGCTGAGCCAATCCAAAGGCACGAGCCTAGAACCTCTCCTGGGTCTCCCACGTGGGTGCAGGGTCCCAAGGCTTTGGACAATCCTCGACTGATTTCCCAGGCCACAAGCAGGGAGCTGGATAGGAACCAGGGCTGCAGGGATTAGAACCGGTGCCCATATGGGATCCTGGAGTGAGTAAGGTGAGAACTTTAGCTGCTAGGCTACTGTGCCAGGTACCCTCTAAAAATTCTTAATCCATGTTCTCTTTCCATCTTGATTAATTCTCCACATTGCTGCCTGTGAATAATGATGACTCCTATGAATATTGAATAATGATAAACCTAACAAAAGGGAAGGAGGCATTTAGTGTAACATATGAATACTGCCCACCAGAATGCCTGGGTCTGATTCCCATTTCTGGTTCCTGACTGCAGACATTGGAAAGGAGAGGTGACAGGTCAAGTAGCTGAGTTCTTGCCACCCAAACAGGAGATGTGATTTGCATTCCTGGCTTCTGGCTCTTCCCCTGGCCCAGCCCTGCCTGCTACAGGTATTTAGGGAGGGCACACACCTGCTCTGCTCTGATTTACTCACTCTCTCCACTTCCTACCTAAATTTAAAAAAAAAAAAAAATCCCTTTCTAAAATAATGGGAAAAGTTAACAAAGGGAACCTAAACCAAAGACACATACATCAAGGGCTGCTACGACAGATAGGCAGAGCTTCAATAAAGGCAGCTGTTAAAAAAATACTACTCCAGTTCACTGTCTGAGATGAGCAGCAAGACAACCATGTAAGACAAGCAGCACATTAACTAAGTGACTAGATGTAAAATATTCCAGTATGCCGCTGCCTCTGACCTAGTATGAGGGCCCACAAGGGTAGGCCAAAACCACCAGGGAATGCAACAGCAAAGAAAATGAAGGAAAAGAGAAAAAGTTCCACTCAAATGTAGTCTAACAACAAAAACTTTCAAGCACATAAATAACCTGGTGCCCAAATAGTCAAAAACTTTTTAAACTTATATTTGTTCTATTTTCTACACAGATTATTGGAATACGTATTTTCTACAAATGACATAGGAAAAAAACTACCATTTGAAAACTGAGTTTAAAAATAAATTACAACACCTTCCAAGACTAGAGCAAAATGGAAAGAAAACGAAAGAATTCCACAAACAGTTCTGTAGAATCGGAACAGAGCTTAAAAAAGGGGGGGGGGGGTGGATTTCTTTGGCTTTCTGAAGGACTTAAGAAAACCTTCACTGACTGTCCCAACTGTTGAATGATGAAGCTATCCTGGTGAAACTGTTAAAGATTATGTATGAACCTTAGCCTCAAAACACAGTCATGACATTAAGTTGACTCAAGTTAGATGACACAAATTTCGTTCTGTGAGATTATCCTATAGCCAACTGTCCTGAGACACCCCTAGAGCAACCTTCCCCTTTCTGCATCTTCAAATCCTGCCCCACTGTTTTAACTCTCTCTGTGGACAAGATATTTCATAGAGTAAATTCATGTTAAAAATCACAGCTTTCTTCAGTTGCCTTCTTATTGCAATCGTTTCACATCAAAGGTATTTGATGAGAGATAAAGAGCCTTAAACCTTGTTTATTGTAACAATGATCATCCTTTCACAGTCAAGTTAGTTTTTAAATCAAACAGGTGAATAACATTTTTCTTGACATTTTGAGCTGATAGCTCATTAAACTCTTTAAAATAATTATTTCCCGTATCCACATTCTGTTTGATGATTTAGATAATTAACTTCTTTCGACATTAACTTCTTTACACATCAAAGTCCTATCATTTCAATGTTTTATTTCCTTTCTTCCAGACATTAAAAAAATGTCTGTTAAAAGCAGGACTCAAGTCAATTTTCTCTAATAAATACAGTTAACATGGAACTGAAAACCTACTGTAATCTTCTCAATGGGTTAATGTCCTGCAGTTGTTTCAGCTTTCAGTTAAAATGCAGCTGTTTGCCATATTTTACAAAATGAATTCAGATGTGCAGATTGGGACCTAGATTATTTCAACATGCCAGTTTAAATGTGAACCCAAGGAATAAGTTCAATTCTGATTAACACTACTTAAGCCTGATCATTAAACCAATGACCAATACTAAGTCACACCTACAAAATCCTGCTCCAGAGAATGAAAATTGGCATTTTAATTTAAAACAATGGAATTTAAGGATATATCCTTTCCTCAGAAAACAACAATACCTCCTAAAAGAGGTTTCAATTCTAGTAAAATTACCACAAAAAGTGCATTAATAAACATATTACAGTTTTTATTTAGGGCTTACATTTTTGGCAACTAAGTGACAAAAGAAATATAATAAAATATCTTTAAGCTTAGAATATTTCAAAGAGTTGGGAACCTTGTTATTAGTTTCTGCATCCTCAAAGCAACATTAAAACCTTGGCTGAAATTGATCAGTCAACCTACTAATTAAAAACTAATAGAATGTTTTTATCATTTCTTCAGTCATCACTGCTGAGAAAAATTAATTCAGCCAAACTATGTACTGATCCGGAGACTCTACAGTCTCAATTCTAATTATTGGCATCCTGACAAACCCACATAATATAAAAATAAAATATTCTTGTAATTAGAACATTTCCATTTCCATAAATTTTTAAAGGGAGGAAGCAATTATGTTAAACTAACACTACTACACACTGCATTTTACATTTACTTAAAAAAAAAGAAACTCAAGGTTGAATAATGTAAATTTCTCTTGATATGGAAAACAACATCAAGTAGTCACTGAAT